AGTTGCAGATCAGAGTACCAGACCTTTGCCAAGAGAAACTGTAGGCATAATGAGAAAGTCATCCTGTCATTTAACTTCCACAGCTGACACTCAATATATTTTACCTTTTCCTCTTGACAGAAATCCTGTTTCTTCTAAAGAAACTTCTCAAGGTAAATTTTGAAAGTTATTTGTACAATATACATAAGTGTATACAGTTTTATCATTCTCATATAGGATGTGGTACTCAACTACGATGGTTGTCCGAAAAAAATAATTAAAGATTGTTAAATTATGTACCGTTCCCTGAGCTATGCAGGTCCCTTGATCACAATTTGATGGGCTGTGCAAGCTATTTTGAAATAATAGGCATCTGCTGTGACAGTAATCTCACAGCTGTGAGCTCATATTTGAGGGACTGCCCCAATATGAGTTGTATACTGGAAACAAAGCCATTATAAGCAGATGAAGTGATCTTACAAATCTCTCGGTTTATCTGTACTGTATTAGATTTAATGTATGGTGCGTGTCCTTTTTATATAGAAAAATGCTTTTATATAGATAGGTTGAGAAACTGTATAAATGATTACCTGTTCTGCGTGAAAGATCATCATTTGTGTATAAGTATTCCAGTGCCTGTTGCATGTCAGTGAAATCACCGTGAAAGTTTGGCAGCTTTATTTTGTGGCACTCTTAAGGGGTTCCAAAGATCTTACTCTGTGTCCTAAAACTATGTAAAATATATTGTCACTTTTTTAATATTAAGAAATAAGTTGGAATGTAAGGGTATTTAATTTCTTACTCTTGCAAGTACCAAACAACTGCTCCAGCACTTCAGAACCTAGCATTTGTTCCCTTTGTGCTTAGTTCAAGAAACTGCTTATTTAAGTCTTCAAATGTGAAAAAGCAAACAAGAGCTGACCAATGAGATGTGATTTATATGCTGCTTTGGGCACAGGATAAAAAATAAAATGGCTATGTCTTGTATAAACAAAGAACAACAGCTTGCAGAATCATTCACAGTCTGATAGTATGTATTTCAAACCATTGTACTACTTTTAAGGAAATTTATGAAATTGCTACTGTTGCAGTTCTTAGGCTGGCACTAGTTAGATTATAGCATTCTAAATATAAAAACTTCCACTAGCATGAAGAAGTAATTGGAACTGTGTTGAGATTATTGTCAAGATCTAATGTTTTCATAGACAGTGATGTACAGGAACATATGCATTAGATATGGGAACTGGTACTACTACATGGTAAGTCTAGTCTGTGTATGTTGGCGTCTCTGGATATCAGGAAGCTGATGAAAGTTAACTGTTCTTATTTGTAATTTTATGGCTTAGGAATAACTTCAATGGAGGTTTCATATTTTAAGTTAATGAAGAAAATATAGTAGACTTGCAGGTTATAATTCATATTCATTTCTATACAGAAAAAAAAAATCCTACTTTCATGATTTTTTGTACTGTTGTAGAAAAAATCGTTGTCTGCAGTCTTGAAAGAAATGCAGTGCAAAAGGAGAGTATTAAACTAAAGACTATGAGAAGATCACTTAGCTCCTGTAAGCTACCTGAGATTTCTAACCCTACTGAACTAATGAGCAACAAATATCTCCTTGAGACACAACTGCAGAAAACCAATAAAGATTCACAAGAACTGGACAGTGTCTGCAACAGCCAGAGTTTGGTTTTGCCTGTAATTACAAAGTCTTCAGTGGTAAAACATTTTATCTTTGATTGCTAAATGGATAAACTATGTTGCTTAATCTACTTTCCCAGTTTAGCATGAGGCAACATACCGTGTTGCTTAATCAGTTGAGAGATAGTGATAGATGTATGGTTACCATGAAATATTCTCCACTTTTTCCCATTGTCCTCCAGGCTCCCTCCCCCCGCCCCCAAAGCAATCAAGAGTATAGTTTTAATCAGAGGATTGTCACTGCCTACCATATTTCATCTGTAGGGGATGAAGGCCTCTGTACTTTCCAAACTGTATTGCCAGTCTTCTCTTGATGTTCAAAAAAAGTGAAAGAAAGAACAGACTAGTCTCGGACAAAAAAAAAAAAAGGTGTGTTGGGGGAGAAGGCAGCTCTTCCTATGTTAGTATCAAGGTCACTTCACCTCTCGGTTGAATGCCAAAGATTGTAGATACTCTTATCTAACCTCAATTATTCAAATGTTCTTTTGCTGAATATCAAATTGAAAGCAAAAATTCATGGAGGAGTTTGGGACATTAGATTTGGAGTCATTGTTAAACAGTATTAGTTTAGTTGATGTACACAAAGATAAGTGAAAACAAAGAAAAACTGCTTTTCATGTCCACATTCAATCAGTGGAAGAACAGACTCAAACTCTCACAACATTAGCAATGGAAGTTGTAGGATTTTAAGGCATATATCATGCAAAACCATCATCCTTACGAATACCTATTACACCAGGCTATCAGAATCATTCCAAGTTTTATGAAACGAGCGTTTTATTAATATAAACTTGCAAGGGCAACTTACGAAGTTTCCTATTTCTTTTCCTGTTTCTAATATCTTTGTGTTTTTATTGAAGTTACAGGATGTAGCCAAAAGACAGAAATCTGTTTCTACGCGGTATTGGGGACTTGAAGGTTTCTTTGTTATAGGTGCAAACCCTAAACAAGTAATGCTTGAAGCACGTTCTTCACTGTGTGCTAACTCTAGCCCTATGGACAGTAGTATCCCATTTCCAGGTAATGGCGTATGAATAAAATCCTCAAACAATATACATATTTATCACTGTTGCTGTAAGACAGCTTGGATCTAGCTTACTTTTAGAAGTCACTTCGGGGTAACGGTCATGCCAACGGTCATGGTGCTGTGGAAGGATCAAATAAACTTACTACCTTGAGGTAAATTACATCAATATAGTGCCATAGATTTATATGCTTCTTTATATCCCCTGAGAATTTGGTTCCAGTAGGAATTTCTGCTTTTCTTTGTGCATAATATACATCACAAAAAAATACTTTTAATGGTGTATATGAAACAACATCTGAAATGATTGATGAACATGAATATTAATTCCATCAAGTATATAAATTGAATTTAAGCTTATTAGTGTGTTATATATGACTTTTTTTTTACATTATATGTAGAAAACTTGTTGCATGACTTCTTTAAATCACACAGATTAAATGCAGCAAATATAGTAGCAGTAAATGCATATTATCACAAAACCTGCAAATAATTTCCTCTAATACTTTTTAATTTCAGGAGATGGAAAGTGGGTTACTGAAAGGAGCTTAAGTGAATACGCTGATGACTCTGTAGTTCAAGGTGTCTTAGAAAGTCAGTTGAGTAGACCTTCAAGTGGTTTGGAGACTCAAAATAGAATTTCTCCCCTGATGGTAGCATGGAGGTCATACCCAGGTAAGGATAGCAACAGCTTTGAGGTCCTACTTTAACGGGTTAATTTTTCTTATGTAAAAAGTAGCAGTGCTGTCTGTGATGATTCTGTTGAATATAGGTCATTTTTATATCTTCATCTATGCATTTGTATTTTAGGTATAATGGCTTATATACATGGCATTGTTTTCATAAGAACGGGCTTTTGAGTTAAAAATTATCTCTTTCCAGCTGTCACTAATAGTTCTTTTTATTATGCTTAGTTTCTACTCCTGCCTCTACCCCATTACTCCCCTCTTAGCTTGAATATTTATTTAATACTGTCTAGAACAAGATTATGTATTACTGTGTGTTTTGCAGAATCTAGTACAATATGGTTTTGATCTAATAAAAGATTTCTTCATGCTACTCAAATAAGACTTATTACATGAACTATAAGAAACAAGGAAATAAGTAACGCATAACTGCATCTGCACTTTTTAGTTACTCTTCTCAATTTCGACTGTCTCCATCTCAGGGAATGTAACTTACATTATTTCTCTCATCTTAAGCAACCAGTTTGGCATTTTAATTTTAAAATCACTATGTGCGGAAATTGAAACTGTCAATTTTGAATCCCAGAAAAATATTTGAAAGTGTCTATATTTTATTCATGTTGCCTTAAATTAAAAAAAGACAGAACCAAAGTTTTAAGCTTTCTACACACATTTTCAGTCTTTCCCATCCCTCCGAAATTTGTGCCATTGTACATAATGTTTAAATCAAATTTTTTTTTCTGAAAGATACCCCTGAAGTATGAGGTGCTACTTCCCAATGTAATTGTAGACTTTTTATTAACATTTATTAATTCACAATCTTAGGCAAAATTAATAATCTCTTCGATCAATTCATAATTTTAACTGCAATTAATGTAATTAATGAGCTGAGATAAAATTCGTTTTATGTGTGAAATCTTGGATTATTAGAAGTTGTTACCTTTTCTGTTATTCAGGCAATGATTCTAGAAGACCTTGGTCAACAAATATGCTACACTGTAAACTGACTGGAAATTGTCCAGCAAACACACAGCCAAGACCAAAGAGTTCACCTATGCATATGTTTAGAGTTGATACTGAGATATCAAAACACAAGTCCCTTGATGTAACTAAACAAGATGACTATATGTGGGAATATATTGCTGACCAAGAAGCCCTACTTACTCTGGAAAAGGAATTACAAAGTTATACACGTAAGTGGCAATACTGCTTCCCCCCCCCGCCCCCCCCCGCCCTGCTTACAAGTAACATAATGAAAACAAGTAGCTATTTAATTTGCCTTCTCAGATCTAACTGATTTTGATGCAAAAATGTACTAAACCATTTGATGATGCAAGACTCTCTTGTGGTTGAACAGTGATTTATTTCCATTTGATCACACTTTAACCTACCCTTAATTTAGTAGAAGCAAACTTTTTAACGCAACTTGTAAGTTTTTTATCCCTTGCATTTGTTGCAAAAATCTGCAGAATGTGCTAGGTATTATTTCAGATCATAAATTCCTTTTAAATAAATAGGTATTTGTTCCTTGGATATTTGATAATGAACACCCCAGGTGTTGTTAGAAGCTAGATGTGATTTGATGCAAGGGTAGCAAGAAGGGGAAGAGATGGACAGGAAATTTTATAAATCTATCCTGACAAGAACTGCCAGTAATAAGGCACAATAGACAGGGTATTACCTCTCATTTTGGGTTTGACTCAACCCCCTTTCCTCTGTCTTTTTAAACCCATGTCCTGTTTTTCCAGGGTGGGGGAGGTGGCAGGGGGGCGAGGTCAGTTGGTTATGGTTGAACAGAATGAGTGAGTTCTGGTTTTGTTCTTTATTGAATACAGGGGAAAAAAATGATTGGGATGCTTCTGTTCCATCTCAGTGAGGAGACAGGTCAAGTGCTAAGGCACTTTGTGCCATAAACAGCCTTGATGGACTGCATCTCTTGGGCTGGTCCCTTCCTTCTGAGTTGCTATGGTGCTTTTATTGGCAGGCCCTGGATATGATGCATCTTCAGTAAACAAAAGTAGTCTGGATTCCGGAGTGTTCTATCTTTTAGAATGTTTTTACCTTAGGTTATGCTGTATTTTTTCACACAGCTCTTCTCTGAGGCTTCCAAATACCACATTTCAGGACAGCTGTCCTCCCGTTTTTGATATATACTCATCAGAACCCATGTGTTTGGAAGAGTTGCTCTTGTTAATGCTTGAAGAATGAAGATCCATGCTGAATATGCTCAGAGGAGAATAGGGAGGGAAGTTATTGCTAAACTGTCCCATTCTTTCTCTCCCTCTTTGTTCCACTTTTTTGGAATACTTTTCATTTATTTAGAAGTTCATAGCAGAGACTTAGGGCTAGCTGGGAAAATAGTAACATACTTGCGTGTGTGTTGTATAAGAAGCATAGGCTGTGACCCCAGTTGATCATTTTTTTGTATTGGTGGATGCAGGATATGTCCTCTTACCCTGTTTTAAATATGTACTACTGTTAGTCAGCTACCCAAGTTCTACATTTGCTACTGTATTTTGAGGTCACATAGGTATTAGTGGGCCCTATATATAAAGTTTTATATTGCACTGGCATAAACATCTTAGAAGCGAACCCTCTCCATTACTTCTAATGTTACAGGAACCATATAATAAAAAGTCATAATTTCTTTGAGGGCTTGTAGCGTCATCCTTCTTCAACTAGAGTTGTTTTGAGATTTTAATGGTGAGTTTTTGTTGATACTGTGAAATTCCTTAAAATTTATAGTGTAGATACGGCACTTTTTTGTTTATATTTGTTCCTGAAATGACCTAAAATATTTCAGGTCCTGAAAAATGTTACAGCTTAACTTCTGAAGATGTAACCTCCTCCAGCAGACACTCAGAGAAGATATGTGGAAATACTACAGTTTTCCATAAAAACCTAGAGCTAAAAGACCACAGCAAAGTTGATAGTCTCAGGTAAGTTAAACTTACTGAGTATGTTTTTATGATACTGTAAAATGCTCAATATGCCAAACATCTTGCCAAAACTGAAATAAGAGTCTTGACTTTCTGATTGTACTTTACAGGCTGATTACAAATGTCAGCATGACCTGTTTTGTATCTTGGTGTTCTAAGCCGGTACTCTCAGGCAGCTCAGATTGAGAATTAAGTGATATATTTTGTTGTTGAGATTCCAACTTACAAATTTTGGGATCATGTTTTTTTTAAATGTATTAGCTTTTGTTAATATACGGCACTGAGATTTATAAAGTATGTCTATTACAAATCATATAGGTTCTTTGATTGAAAGGTACCTTTAGAAAGAGCAGTTGGGAGCAGGTGAGCCGATAACATTTAACTCACCATAGTCTATGATATATGTGTTATATTGGTTGGAGACTAAGGAGATGACTAGAAACAAGGAAGTTCGCCAAATTTCTGTCTGTCATTGGTTTCTTATTATGATCACATAACTAGTAAGGGCGAGACAGACACTGTGAGTTAACTGCATGCTATTTGAATACAGAATTTTGTGGCTGGTTGGTTGCAGGTCAGTAGAAAACTAAACAATATTTGCAAATAGTGCAGATAGTATAAACGAGACCCGCTTTCCTAGCTTACATGTTCTAGGATGTGGGATTTCTCTATTAAGGCACACTAGTGACAATGTTATTTACCTCCTACTTGTTTAAGAGGTGAAAATGTATGTGACAAAAACTGAGGAGGAAAAATGAATATAGTAGCTTGTAATGTATGTACACTTGCAAAATATACAGCAAAAGCTATTTTCATGCCTTTTAGCTCTACGTATGTGAACATATGTCGCTAAGGCTTAAAGCAGAGTAGCTTGAGGAATTTGAGCCGCTGAAAATCACTGTGGTATGTTTCTTTTAAGGGGCTGGGATGAAAGCCAAATGGATGATGAGGAAGAAATTCTGGAGGATAAGCAACAGGTTCTTGCATTACAGTGAACAGGCAAAGAACTTCATGCAATTTCTATCTTTGCGTATCATAGAAAACCAAGAAGCAGATGACGAGGTGTCTTGAGTACTGCTCAAGATATTCTTTACTAAGGATTGTTTTGTAAAACTGTCAATAAAAGTCTTAAAAATCCCTTGGGTTTGGCTTTTTTGTTAGTATGAAGAAGTAACAGAATAAAAGAAAACTGGTCTTGTGCTATTATTTTTTAGGATTTTTTACTCTGTAATTTTTATTCAATATAAGGTTCCTTGCCTGCAGATTGAATTTTGTGTCTCCAAATGCAGTTTTACCTTGCCAAGCTGAGAGGTAACGTGCAAGAGGGTATTAATGGAGCGTTCTTAAATTGGGGGTCAATACCGCCAAGCTTACATGGTGAGATGCATAGTAGAAAGTGTAATAGGTCTAGTGTACTTTACTCCTTATCATATATTTTACCACAAAGGGACTTTCGCCTTGCAGTATAGAAATTAACAGTTTTACGTAGTATATTTTACTTCTCCTGCTATATTCCTTTCTTCTTAATTTCAGCAGGTAGCGTATACTAGAAGTAAACTTGGCTCCCTCTGCTTGCATCGATGGGAAGTCAGTTCTTTTTCTGCACTGTACTACTTTCACTGTTCCAGTATGCCAGTTCGGAGTGATCTATGTTCAGCATACCAAATTCAGCTGTACTGTAGGTTGCTATCTTACAGGCCTTTTGAGATTAAGAGAACAAAGAGGAAATACAGTTAAAAGATTATCTTGGGTGGTTTTGATTTCACCAAACCATTTTAATTTATCTGATGATGACAAGGCCTCAACTGTACTTTTGCACTTGCTGCATCTGTGTTGTATAAAAAGGGTGGTTCTTCCCCCTCTTCTCCCCTTCCCAGTTAATGTAAGGTTAAATGCAATTAATATAACTTCAGTAAAAGGTCACTTGGCTGTTACATGCTGACATGGTACTTTAATGTAAAGAGAGTTTGGTGGCTTCCTGCTCTCTTTTTGAGGAGGTGCTTAATTGTATCCAGTAGTTGAGTAGTTTTCCGTGGAGGTGGCAGGAAGTTAAGGTTTTGAAATGATCTGACTGGTGTCTTTTGGTAACATCTTTAGGTTTCTCAGACACAGCAGCATGCTTCAGCTTTCTTTTAATTTTTTTTTTTCCTTCATCGTGTTCTATTTGAATGTGGTGGACACTTTTTTCCTTCTCTTATTTTCCTCCACTGTGGTTTTTAAGATGCTTTTCAAACCATCTTAAAAGCTCCCCCCTCCCCCCCGAGTTTTGATCAAAAAGAGTCTATGAAATTGCAGTCAAAGATTTCTGTCTCATTGTATTGGGAAATTTTGGAAGTGGGATTAATTAAAAGCTTTTGTCTGACAATTGTTATCTATTTACAGGTAAATCAGCTGACAGGACTTTAATGGTAATTGTTGTTCACAAAGAGAAGCTTTATATCCTGCTTTACACCTTCCATCTATGTTCAACAGTTCTCTCATAACTGCTTTAAATGAGGAGTTTATAGAAGATGAAATTCAGAGAGCAACACTGTACGTACTTTTGACCATGTTATCCATTTTATATTTAATGAAAGGATTATGTGTCTACTTCAGTAGTTTTTCACCTCAGCAACAGTGATCAGTAAGTTACGAAACTTCATGTCAGATGCCTTTTATTAAAGGTCATGATTTCCATCACTAAACTGATTAATTAGGAAATGCAGATGATTTTAAGAAATTGATTTTGTTTATAGCCTGAAATGTGTAAAGACATCTTTAAGTGCTCATCTTGAAAACCTTGGGATTCTGTGTTCAGAGTTGGCAAGTGACCTTTATATCAGTGGAAATGTTCCAATATATTATTTAGGTTCTGACAGTTAAACACATACTTGTTTGTATTCTCCCCATGCCACAGAACTCTAATGTAGTATGCATTTGTTGTTTGACACCCCCTCCATCAATTATTCACTAATATTAGACAACATGGACAGTAATCTTTTCAACCATTTCTTTTACAGGAAAAAATACTTCAGTAACCCTAATTCATAAAAACTAGAGCTGTCGGGCTGAACGGACCATTGATTTGATTTCCTGCCTCATTTCTTGTCTTTAAGGTGAGGGCATATTTTCCACTTCGGTTTTCTTTATAGAGTTTACCATATATTGATGTTTTATTACAGTAGTTCTTCGCCAGAAATTCTAAGAATGAAATCAGAAAGCAGGTGTTCTACTTTGTAGATTAAGGCCAGTGCTTTTCTCTCATGAATGTAACCTTTTCTTTCTTTTTGAGTTACTTTTCCAAATATTCCTGTTACACTCATTTCCCTTGCACAGATAGGCTGACTGCTTCCATGCTGTTCCCAGCGCTTTTTAACTAGAAAACCGATGAAGTAGGTGCTGCTGTAGTGTGTGCCTAGAGCCCTCAAACAGCCAGGTTAATCCTTTGTGTTTGTGCTTGTCGGAGATAACTAGAAAGTCACTGACTGTTTTCAACATCTGATTTTAACAGTTTTCCCTTCCCATCCCTTTTGAAAAAAAAAATTGCTTCTGAGAATACCTCTAACAAACTTTGGACTAAAAATAAGCTTACTTCAATGTATTAGTAATCTCTTTGGTTAGTCAGTGATGATTTAAATGCATCTCAGTTTTGTATTCCTAGGTTTAACACACTTGAAGATGTCTTGCATGGAATTTTTTTTTTCTCTCTTCAAGTCGTAGTGGTGGAACTGATATCCGAACTGAAGACCAAAAAGAGCATCTGAACTGATGCAGTTCCATGACACTTATTGCTTGTTTTTCTGTTGCAAATAGAACAAATCTAGTGTTGAAAGCTTGCTGTTTATGATTGTGGATGTGGTTTAATGTACTTCCCTGCATTTCTGCCTTGGTACAAATACAATGTGCAAACTGTTATGTTTTGGTTTGGGTTTTTTTTTCCCTTTTTTTTTCTCCTGTGCCTGTTGTAGGGATGGCTAGAGCTAAACCCGTGTCAAGGGATTTGCACAGAAAAATGATCTTTTATGTCCAATGAGAGAAAGAGAAAAGGAGGGGAAAAAAGTGAAAGACCAGTTTAGTTTTCTGAGCTTCTAGGGGGAGTCTACATGTCTTTTTGTGTACATTAACTTTTTGGTAACCTGATTTTACAAAACATAAGTCCTACGAATTAACTTGGCAATCAATTTGGATTTTGAAAGAGGATATCACATTCATTATATATTAAAGTATTCTAGGATTCATGTGGACACACCTACTTTTCAGTAGTCTGGCAGACTCTGCAGGTCTGTCTCTCTTTCTTTAGCCTTTTTGAATGTGGCCATTTTCTGCTTTCCAGCAACTCTCAGTATAACATACATCAGTGTAAAAGACTGCTTGGTGGGCAGGTGGGCTTACTATTTTTGGTGGTTATACAGTACAAGAATGGGTGAACCTGGCAAGGATTGAATTGGATTACTGGAGAGATTTTGAGGGGTCCTTTGTTATCTTGCAAGCAAATGTTTCCTTTCTGCCCTTTCAACTAAAGAAAATACATGAGGCATAACTTTTGTGTGTGATGTTTAAATATTAGTATTCCAACACTCTTAGCTTTTTTCCCCATGATTTTTTTTGTTAAGAGCTTGGTGTAAGACCCAGGAAAAAATTAACTCCATCACTCTTCTGCTTAGAGACTTGTTACAAACATACTTAGTGCCAGAGAATGGAATAATTTGGGAAGGGTGAAAACCTAGTAAGTGTCTTCTGTCCATTGTCAAGCTTTATGATCTTGTCCTGGTTTCAGTACCAAGAGCAATATACTTGTGCAGTTTACATATCAGAGTGCTGCTGATTTAAGCAGGATTAACATATGGCAATAATCAGATGTTTATAGATGCTCAGAGGAACTCGTGCTTCACAGAGATCATCTGCCCATCTCTGGTGGGGAAACTCTACCCGTGTATTAACGTTTTGAACTTTACTAGCCCCAGGTCATTACAGAATTCTTTCCTACCAGCCAGTATTTCTTTTGTCTTATATGCCAAACTAATAGTGCATCAAGTGGAGCTACTATCAGAAAAGAGTCCATCAGGACTCCTGTCTCATACAGTTCTCTTGAAATTACCTTTCCCAGTGGACCTACCAGATTGCCTGGCACCAGTGGATGACTTCTACAGGCAAATCTAGCTGGAAGCAAGTTGCCAAATATTTTTCAGTCAGTTTCTGTGTCTTGGTGTTTAAAATATCAGTTCTTCCTCCAGCTTGCCAGAAGAGAAATATCTGGCATAGTGATAAAGGAATCATGTGAAATTTGTGTTATTCCCAAGTGCTATAATTCCAAGATTTCTACTCTCCTTGTCTTCCACTAGGTATCTTAGTGCATTTCAGGGAAGGTCACAGAATCTCTGGTGAAGTATCATCAGACCGGCACTATCCAGCCAGGGTGCTGTGCTGTTATGCCAGATTCTGATGTGTGTATATGTAATTGCTTAGTATGAAACAGCCACGTTTCCATGACCATTAATGAGCAAATTTACAGTGTAAAATGAATGTTTCTTGTTCTCAAAATGCAGACAAACTTAACAGCTGTTAACCTCAGTTGAATGCTTCTTTCTAAAGTACTTACCTGGGAGTCCCTGAAATATTTTATTTGGCTGCCATTTGGCTGCCTGCCTGATAATATCTGACTTTGGGTTTGGTTTTTTTTTTATATGGAAGGGGCACTCATCCAAGTAGTTAAGTTACAGAAGCCATGTGAAGTGTTATCTACTTCTGCTGATGTAGTTGGCTGTACACACAAGAATATGTTAAGATTGAAAAGTGAGAATTGAGATTTTCCTGTTCATGTTTCGTTTCAACCAGTTCTGGCAATGAATGAATTATATTGAAAACACTGTTCGTGACTCTGCTTGTGCTGGTACTGTAAAGGCCTCTGGTACATACTCTAGGACTCTTCCTCTAACAGAGCAGAGCTCTGTTTTACTGTTTGATTCTAACCTTTAATAGACTTTAAGATGCTGTTATTTGCTGCATCTCATTTATA